CCCCAGCCCCTCACTGTGAGCCCCAATCCCTCACTGTGAGCCCCAATCCCGCACTGTGAGCCCCAATCCCGCACTGTGAGCCCCAGCCCCTCACTGTGAGCCCCAATCCCACACTGTGAGCCCCAGTCTCTCACTGTGAGCCCCAATCCCTCACTGTGAGCCCCAATCCCGCACTGTGAGCCCCAATCCCGCACTGTGAGCCCCAGCCCCTCACTGTGAGCCCCAATCCCTCACTGTGAGCCCCAATCCCTCACTGTGAGCCCCAATCCCGCACTGTGAGCCCCAGCCCCGCACTGTGAGCCCCAATCCCTCACTGTGAGCCCCAATCCCACACTGTGAGCCCCAATCCCGCACTGTGAGCCCCAATCCCACACTGTGAGCCCCAATCCCTCACTGTGAGCCCCAGCCCCTCACTGTGAGCCCCAATCCCACACTGTGAGCCCCAATCCCGCACTGTGAGCCCCAATCCCACACTGTGAGCCCCAATCCCTCACTGTGAGCCCCAGTCTCTCACTGTGAGCCCCAGCCCCGCACTGTGAGCCCCAATCCCACACTGTGAGCCCCAATCCCGCACTGTGAGCCCCAATCCCGCACTGTGAGCCCCAATCCTGCACTGTGAGCCCCAGTCCCGCACACTCTGCTGTGGCCGGCAGCCGGGCGGCCCGCCCTGGGCCCGTGCTTCTCCGCAGTCCCTGCCTCGGCAGTGCCCACAGGAGCCGGGGAGGGGACCGGCATGTCCCCAAGGTTTGCTCACTGTCATTTTCTGCCCCGTTTTAACGAGCGGGGCCGTGGGGGGAAGGAAGGAGCCGGGGCGCTGGAAAGGCCCGCTCCCTCGCAGCGGCCTGGATCGTTGGGAACAATGACAACCCGAGGCTCCGAGAACTCTCTGGGGGTCCGTGTCTTCCCGTGAGAGTCAGCGTCCAGTGCCACGTCCTCCCCTCAGACTCGGCGCCCCCCGCCCCACAGGCGTCTCGACCATGCTGCCCACCACAGCCCCAGGCAGACCGGAGCTCCTCGGCCCCCGCCGGTTGGTCTCACCGGAGGTCAGGGGAGTCACCAGGCCGGGCCTGGGACAGGCTCCGTGTCTTCCAAGCACACACGGCAGCTGTCATTGAAGGACCACCTGTGTCAGGACCTCCCCCTTCCCCACGGAACAGCCTCGCCCTGTCCGCGCTGACACGGGCCGACCGCAGCGGGGACCCCCGCCAGTCGGGTGACATGACGGGAGCGGGGGGGCTCAGGCGGAGGGCCGTGTCCCCGATGGAGCCCGGCCAGTGGGATGGACCTGCCTCCGTCTAGACCGGGGCTTCTCACCTGATCTGTGTCATGACAAGACCTACAAATCCTCATGCAGACCGCCGCCTCCGAGCGCATGAATGACACAGACGAGAACCAAACGGGTGGTTACCGTCGAACCACAGACAGTCGTTCCGGCATTAAAACAGGGGGATGCGCGTGTCACCGTGCTGCTTTCTCAGCACAGTAAGGACCCAGACACGGTCGTGGGGCCTCGGGACGCCTGACAGTTCCAAGGAGCAAAGGGAGGGTACGCGGCCTCCTGTCTACAGTCCATACACAAAGGGGACGCTGGTTGCAGCCAGAGGAATAAATGTAATTTCCCCATTTGACCTCGAAAGCTCACGTTCTGACCTCGGCCCCTGGTTAAGGAGCCCGGCCCAGGCCTGTGTGGCCGGAAGGCTGGGCCCAGAGCACGTCAGGGAGTAGCCCTGGGCCACCCACTTCCCCTCCCACCGGCACCCACCACAGCCACCAGCACCCGGCAGGGGCTCAGACGTGCTGCTTGACGGACAGAGGCGCGAAGGCCAACCCCGCTCGGTGGGAGCCGCGGGCTCGCTGAGGCCCTGGCTGGGCAGCGCGGGGAGCGAGACCCTCGGGTCACACCTGAGAGCACCGCCTGGTTTCCTGCTGGTCTCTTTCCGGCGGAGGAGACATACCTTGGAGCAGGTGATGGTGAAGGGGCTGGTGGGCCGCCAGCACGGCCGTCATCTCGTCGTGGTCGGACGGGTGGATGTACTCATAGATGCTGTTGCCCGTGAGCTCCACCTGCCGCAGAGGGAGGGGGTCAGGAGTCCTCCCGGGACCGCGGGGAGGGGGACGTCGTGCGGACCACAGGTCTGCGCCTGCAGGGACGGGACTCCGGACTCCGCGGACCGCCCACCCTCCTCCCCGCGCGGACACACCTGCCTTTTCCAAACCTTCTCCCACACTCTCCGCAAGGACAGAGAGGTTTGAGCTGAAAACAGAGTCCTGAGCAGGAGGAACTGGAAAGTGAAGGATGAAAAGGGTGAGCCATGGCCCAGCTGGCGTGGCTTAGCGGTTGAGCACTGACCTCTGAACCAGGAGGTCAGGGTTAAATTCCCCGTCAGGGCACATGCCCGGGTTGCTGGCTCGATCCCCAGTAGGGGGTGCACAGGAGGCAGCCTATCAATGATTCTCTCTCATCATTGATGTTTCTATCTCTCCCCCTCTCCCTTCCTCTCTGAAACCAATAAAAATGGTTTTTAAATTAAATAAAAAGAAAAGGTGTGTCAGAGGTGGGGACCCTCATGGTCTGGGCAGCATCCTCCTGCTGCCTGAGGAGATGGTCAGCCATGGACCACAGCGAGGTCCCGGGAGCCTTGCCCCCTCGGAGGTGAGAGGCAGGAGCCGACCTGGCCCGGAGGCCGCCCTTCTCCTTCAGCTCTGCTCCCGGGGCACCGCCGGGGAGACGCCTCGGGCCTCCCCAGCCCACGATGACTGTGCTGACCCTGGTTCCCACCCACGGGTGCGGCTGGGGCCCACCCCACGGAGCTATGTGACCCTGGGTTCAGACACCGCCCAACCCTGACACACCCCAGAGGACAGACACCTGCAGGCGCGGCCACGATGGGCAGCACCTGCTTTGCGGGGACAGGGGGCCAGGACACCACCATCACGGTGACTTCACACAGGGGTCCCAGCGATTCGCTTCCGAGCCCCGAGAAGTTTCTATATTCCCCCAACACGAGTGCCAGTGCCACCATCGGGAATGACAGTCTCCCGGCCAGTCCCCCTCACCCCTCACCCCTCCTGGCACGGGCACTGGCGGACAACATTCTAGAAACTGCCGCCGGCCGTCGGAGCAGCCTCCTGAGCAGATGCGTGGGTCCTACTTTGGAGGTGAGGACGGAGAGCCAGCGCACCCGGGATGGGTCAGGGGGCCCAGCGTAGGGATGACACTTCCTCCACAGCCAGGTGGAGCCCCCAAAGCCGAGTGGGAGAAGAAACTCAAAGTGAACGGGGCACTGCCCGAGGGTGGCAGGGCCCCGGGGTGGGCGTGCAGAACTCCGAGCCCTGCTCCGGGGCAGAGGGCCAGCTGAGCGAGGGCAGGCTCGCCAGCGCTGGTCCCACACGCACCCCTACCTCCCCCCGGTATTTCTGTTGAGTGTGTTGTTGGGAGCCTCCTTGCCCTCAGCAGAGCAGAGAGGACCTGACCTCGCGATGGGGCAGCCCAGATGGTGCCACCTCACGCAGCAGGACAACCGGCCAAAGCCTTAATGGAGAGCGTCCCCACCTTTCCAAACCAGCGAGGCCACCAGCTCTTCCCCGGGGACCACGGGGAGGTGAAGGCATTCACCCCTCTCTTCTGAGCCAGGGCTTCCACTTTGTTCCAAAGCGTGAGATGCCCTTTCAGTCAGAGCAAATTACGTTCCTGGCCCGGGAAGTGACCTGGTCCCTGGCCCGGCGTTGTTCACAGTTCTAGTCTCTGTGTTATTCATAGAACGAGGCCCGGTGCACGAATTCGTGCAGGGGTGGGGTCCACCAGGCCGGCAAGGGGGAGGGGCCATGGGCAGTTGGCCACCCCGCCCCCTGGTCGAACTCCCGGTTGAACTCACAGTCGAGGGGACAACTTGCATATTAGTTTTTTATTATATAGGATGTCTCCTTCCAATGTTGTACAAACAGCCTTGGAGAGAATCCTGTAAGAAGGCCGCCCTGCCCACCCCCCGCCTGGCTCTTTCCTAGTGACCCAACAGATGTTCGCCTCCATCCAAAGTTAGTACATGAGGCCCTAGCCGGTTTGGCTCAGTGGATAGAGCATCGGCCTGCGGACTGAAGGGTCCCAGGTTCCACTCCAGCTAAGGGCACAAGCCCGGGTTGTGGGCTCGATCCCCAGTAGGGGGTGTGCAGGAGGCAGCCGATCAATGATTCGCTCTCATCATTGATGTTTCTCTCTCTCCCTCTCCCTTCCTCTCTGAAATCAATAAAAAAGAAATATATTTCAAAGTTAGTACATGAGGCCATTAAAAAATAAGTAGCAAAAACGGCACATTCTTCAAGTCATTCCTGTTCATCCTTACATTTAAATAACCCAGAACATGTAAGTCAGTCACTTGGGACCGGACGATCTTTTTTCTGGGGCAGTGGGAGACGCCTGGTGGGCTGTCAGGTATAAGGGAGTCATTGTTTTTATTGCATGGCTTATTTTAAAAATAAAAATAATTAAAACAAAATAGAATTTCTTTCTTAATCCTCACCTGAGGATATTTTCCCATTGATTTTTAGAGAGAGTGGAAGAGAGAAGGAAAGACAGAAATATCAGATGTGAGAGAAGCACATCGATTGTTTGCCTCCTGCTCGACCGACCAGGGCCCGGCTGGGGAGGAGCCTGCAACCGAGGTACATGCCCTTGACCGGAATCAGACCCAAAACCCCGATCCAGAACCACTCAGTCAGAAGGCTGACGCTCTATCCACTGAGCACACCAGCTAGGGCCCAAATAGACTATTTTTGTGTTGGCCTATCATTTCTCCCCTACCTTTGTTTTTTTTTTTTGCGGGAGGGATCATTCTGGTTTGCTCCAAGGTCTTACTTAGAAAAAAGGAACCTGTCTGGCTAGAGAAACAGCTTCATGTACTTGCACAGGCCCTGCCCCTGGGCCCGTGGGGCTCCCATTAGCGGCTTCGGCCCAGAGCAGCCTCTCTGCCCCCCGTCCTCCATCCTCGCCCTCTGCGCCTGGAGCAGGAGCAGAGCGAAGGCCCGCGGACCAGACGCCTGGTTTTCCGAACATTCGGGTCAGTTCTGAAACCCGGAGGCTGTCGGGGAAGTAAAGCAGGCTCTGACACGGAAACGCTTTTAGGGAACACGTCTGCGATGATAAAGCAACGCTGACCTGGCTCGGAATCACAGCCGGCGTGCGTTTCCTGTGTTTACATATCTCCGAGCGCCTCGGAGCGCTGGAAGCAATGCGACTGCCTCGAAAAAAAAAAATTACGGCCGTCGCCATAAAACCCCAGGTCTCATCCATCAGCCGCATTAGCACAGACCCTCCGAGCGCCGCTCCAGCGTGGCAGACCCCGGAACTGCAAAACGGACTGCTTTCCTACCGAGAGCTTTTTTAATATTTTGCTGAATAGCTTTTCTTCCTGCCAAGAAAACGGCCCGGGATAAACTGCCCGAAGGGGGACACCCTGGGTCAGAGGGGGGGGTGGCACCCCGCTCTCCAGACCCACACGGTCCCGGTTTGTTGGTGTTTTGCTGACTACGGTAAATGAAGCATTTTAAAATTAGGTGGTTTGAGTTTCAGGGTTCAAGTTATGTCAACAAACATAAAACGCTGCCCTTTCTCTTCATTTCAGAAGTGAACGGATCAGGCCTGCGGGCCCCCAGCAGCACCGGCTGTTTTTACGGCTGCGCTTCTGCTGCGATCGCAGATCCGGGGTTCCCTTCGGGGTCTCGGGCAGCGACACTCATTGGAAAATGCCTGTGAGCTTCCTACATGCCATGCAGGGTGTGCGACTCTGTGAGGGAAGTTACAGCACATGGACGCCCACAACTGCTGGAGGCAGCACACAGCAGGTACTCGGAGCTTTCTTCCTTCTTCAAATATAAGTGAATGACAGTAACCAAAAACCATGGAGTTCAACCACTGAGTAAACTTGCGTGAATACCAAGTGCTCCCCCAACGCGGCCTCTGCCAAGGAGACTGGTCGGCCTCTATGAATCGTTATGTGTGAGACATGTGTCCCCACCAAACGGAAGGCCCGGCCAGCAGCTGACTCTGTCTCCCAGCACCTGGGCTGCGGGCCGAGGCGAGAACTTGCGTTTTGCGGTTGTCTCTGTCATTTCTCTTTTTTTTTTATGAAAATTTGACAGTAAGGATCGCTGTGTTCACTCATTTAAAAGTAAAAACAAACTTAAGAACTCTCCATATAAAGTCGATTTCTTATTCCAAACTTTTTAAAAAGTTTAATAAAAGGCTTTGAATTGAGAAGGGCTTATAACACAATCATTTTCACACCCTCAACCCGATAACACTGATAGTTATTTAGGTAGTGCAGGTGGGAAAAAAAAACTACCACTGTGCTATGAATTACCACACAGTAAGGCAACCCAAGGAAGGGGCTTATGTTCCCCAGATGCTGCTAGCATGGCGTTTCACCCTGAAACGGGAAAGATGGCACGCGTAATGAAACCAGGTCATGGAGAGTCATGGAAAGTTCCGGAACACAGAAGGGCACTATGTAAATATAAGCTGGAAATGATAGCTGTTCCGATCCCTATTCATCAGGAAACCTGTGTGAAGGTCACTCTTAGACTACTGGGTAACATTTTCTTAACATTTTTCTCTCTGGTGATTTGAAAAAATTCATTAAGCCTATGTTAATAAAGTTTTCATGGCTGATACATTTTGCCTGAGTTTTTCCTAACAAACTAATCCAAAAGCAAAAAAAAAAAATTATTTTAAAGAGAAGTTGGGTATTTGACATCCTCTCCGATACTTTATTTTACTATTTAAGTGAAGAAGACAGAAAAAAATACACACTGTGATTCTGCCTAGATTGCCTGCTGCCCAGCTAATTGTGGGCAGGAGGCGGGCTCGAGGGGCAGTGTTTGCTGTTCTTATTTAACAGCTCACAGAACGTCCCCCGACGCGGGGCTCACTTCCGCGCCCGAGTGTTTTTGTAACTGAAGACTGATACCAAGAGGGTCCCGCCAAAGCCATCAGAAAAAAATATATATCAGTCGTCCTGCACAGTTTGATACATCCTTTTCTGTGATCGGAACTTCTGGAAATATCTAGGCCAAATATCTGAGTCTCTCTTGGGAAATGGTAGTGTATAACATGATCCCGCCCCCTTCAAAATCACAGCACAAAATCGTATGTCTGCATTACGACGAGAAGTAAGTGTAATTTTAATTGTGATTCTGCTCAGATGTCCTCTGTGGAGGTAAGAGTGGACAGAGGCATATCTGTCACGATATTTGGGTCATTTTAACTGAAGAGAAAAATGACTGAGGGAGGGGTGTGGGGTTCGAGAGAGAGCAGCCACTGAATGAGCTGGAATATGCCGGTCTGTGCCGGTCTGTGCACAGTGCCTCGCGATGTGCAGGACATTCCTGTGACTAAGAGCCCTGTGTGTGCCCACCAAAGGGTGGATGCCATCTGCGGCAACCTCTGTGCTATTTGAAGTGCAACACTAATGAAATGGTGATGAGGCCTGGCTTTTCGTACCTCACATAAAATGGGCACTTGGATTTGTTTCCTACCACAATCCTGAAAGAGAGGAATTATTTTTCTTAAGTTATCACTCCAGAGATTAAATACCTGCCCTATCAGACAACAAAAACCACATAACTGAATGCATTTCCCTTTTTGCTTTGGCTGCTAGGAAGCTCAGATTTAAACTTACTATTCCATAACAGTAACTTCACCTAATCTAAAATATGTTTGACCGGTCATTTTTAAAGCATGTGACATGTTTTGTCTTGTCTGTGACATTACAAGACTAATCAAAGGTTTTATAAATCATGACTGGAAAAATTAAGTCAAGCCAGGAGGAGAAACCAGCTGGGCACCAGTAAAGGGTCTTAAATAATTATAAATAGTGCCAGGTCAAAATTCAGAGAATAGAAACTTTGCAAAATAGAAAAAAAAATTAGTAAAGTTCATGTCTCCAACAGTATTTTCCATCCTACAAGGACACTCACTACTCTCACGAGTCACATTGTAAGAGCCAAGCCCTGGTCAATCTTATCTGGGAGACCTGGTTTCATAAAGAAGAGAAAAGAAAACACCAAACAATTCTAATATGAGATGATTCTCTTTAAAGAACTCTGCATAAAAAACACATCGGCGCAGGGGATCAGGATGGACACACGTTGGAAGAGAAGGCTGGAAACAAATGACAGGTTTTAAAAAAATGTAAAGGCAGCAAAAGAAAAGGGATCCGCCAGATGCGATTTCCGAGCTGGCGATTTCGTTTCTCAATGAGAAAACCCGAGCCCCATTAGTTGGCACGTTTTATTTTGGCTCAACTACACAAGGGGCTGGTGCAACACAAACCATTCACGGGCCTCATGGGAGCCCATTTCCTGCATCTGATTAATTCTAGTGTGATGGAAAAGCGCGCTCTGATAATTCCCAACGTAAAGAAACATTTAGTCCCCGTATGCTAAAAAGGAAAAAAGTGTGGCTTTTAGAACCCTGTTCCACACCTGCTAACTCAGAAACGCGAGTGGCAACCATCAGTTCGCGTCCCCCCATCCGGACCCACCCGCCACGGGCCCAGGCTGCAGCCAAATTCCCCCCCTGGAGCCCCCGGCTGGACCGGGATAAGGAAAGCCGAGTGCCATTCTTCCCTCTGGGGGATGAGCCCCTTTTTAAAAAATGGTTCCAGAAAAATCAGTAATATTTAAATGTTCTGAAGAAACCAGGACCTTGCTGTGCAAAACAGTAGTAAACTGCGTTTTATGAGTTTCTATCACAAGCATATAAAATGCTTTACTGAAACGACCACTGAACTGGAAAAACTCAGGAAAAATTACCCTGAATTCCATGTGAACACTCATAAATCTCCCCCCCCCCTTCTCTCTCCCCAAAGCACATGCTGCATAAAATCCACGTCCTCCACCAGCTTTCCACTCGCTCTCACAGCAACGACAATCCCACGTGCAGGCCACCGAACGTGGGCTAAAGCTCTGCTCCGTGGAGCCCCTGCGAGCGACAGAGAGCCCGCGGGACTCGCAGAGTCCGGGCCGCTGAGCGGAACCTCGGGACAAGGCTGGCTGTCGCCAGGACAGGCTGGTCGTTAACCCCACAGGAAAGAGGAAGGGAAAAAGTGGAAGGGAACACGGGGAAGGAAAGCCCCGCGGGACGGCCTGAGAAGAGGGTTTTGCGAGTTGGGGTCCTGCTCGTTCACCAAAGCAGGTGCTTGAACACAGGGTCACGCTGGGTCGTCCACCAACACACGCTTCGCACGGAGGCTGCACATGCAAGCAGGTACCACCTACCTGGGACAGGCCCAGATGGACCGAGGCCGTTTCCGATATGTACATGATTTTGCCATCGGATGCCACCACGAAAACAAAGCCATCCAAGGTCTGGAAGAGAAAAAGTGTCCGGGTCAGAGATGACAGGTCTACGTTAGGGTTAAACCTCGTAACTGTCCTCTCTCTGGGATGGAGGGGGATCGTATAAAATATTATCACCAACACGTATTTGTCAAATGCAGAAAACAGAGCCCAGCCCCGGAAGGGCTGTAAGTTACACCCCTCACTCAAAGGGCAGTCCCCGCACCAGGCTTTCGAACGCTTTTAAAGCGCTGTAAAAACAGTCTTACACGCACATCGCAAAAATCAGGCAAAACGCTGGGAGAATTCCTGTCATACCCAGTTTAAATGCAGTAGCTTTATTGTTTGGGGTTATTTTAGCACTTAGCACAAATCCGGAGTTCTATGGTACTTAGGGGACAATCGACCACTATATAGACCATTTTATGTCATAATTGGCAGTGTTTATACCGCGAGGACATATGCTTTATTTGCCACGATCTTCTAGTTACCGCTAAGTACCATTTGAATAATAAATTCCAAACACTACCACTCCCCAGAAAAGAAAATACCGGGTTATTTGAACAGACTATGTCTACAGAATTAATTATCTCAAATAACCTTTGCAAAATTCAAGGAGAAGAAGTATCAATTTCTGAAAAAAATTAAAACTACCTACGTGGTGTTCTGATTTTGCCAACGTTGGATAGCCCTCAAAAAAATAAAGTAATATTATAAGAGGTAATGAAAACAAATAAAAAGGTACTGAACATATTTATGTGTGGCATGGACAAAAAAAACACCTCTAAGTTGTTTTTGAAAAAGGAAACTGCATTTTATTTACCCATTCATATTTTAGATCCAGGACCAAAGAAAAGCAATAAAATTGGTGAAAGATCCATACAACCCACAATGCTGCCCCCATAAAAAATATTCCAAATTAATTTCTGGCCACAGATTCTATTTTTACAGCATGTAATTGAAACCAGATTACCTTTGGCTTTTTTTTCCCTAAATCACCCCCCTCCTTTGGAGGGGGACCTAAAAAGAATGTAGCAGAAATGAAACTTGGAAGATGCCCTGACATTCTCTTCTCTCAAACAGAGTTTTTGTTGCAAAAATTCTTTGCCAACTAAACTCTCATTCCCTTTCCCTCCGCTGAGGTGGAAATCAACATCTTGATTAGAAGCCTGACTTCCCCGTTTCTAACTCAGCTACATTTTTTTTCCCCCAGTTAAACGCCCGCCGTTTCACAAATATCAACGACAGGGCACTTTCTAAAGCTGTCCGCGTTTTGGCACATTTTGCATTCTTGCCTGACTCCGAAATCCTTAAAGAGAGACATTAACGAAACCGTCTCGGACAGGGAGCCATAGGAGTAAAAGAAAAATTATCATAATCCAATTCTGCAGGTTGCCAGCAGTAGCTAAAAATAATATCCTTGATGGAGAAGCTGGGTGCGCCGTCACAGCCTCCGATTCGCCTGCGTGTGTGCAAACGGCCAGGGCGCTCGTCCGCGCTCCCCGCGGAATTAACTAAAGGAACGGGCGGCGGCGCGGGACCGGAGTCTGTTGACTTTGCCGCCAGGCTCTCGCCGGGGCTCCCAGGCACTTAGCTGTCCCCATATTAGTGTCACTTATAATTCGCAGAGCTTGGAACATGGAAAATACCGCGGGCCCGGGCCGGGGCCGGGCCCGAGAGCCGGCGGGCGGGCGGCGCGGGAAAGGGCTCCAGGAGCACCATTACCCGCGGCCTCCACCCCGCGCTGTGTCCTCAAAGCTTCAGGTTTCAAACATCCCCGGACCCGCGCTGCCCGGCGCACGCATTTTCGAAACATCAATCACACTCGGACGTTCGGGGCCAACGAGTTCTAAAAAGATCTGCTTCTTCCCAACGCGGAGCTCGCGGCTGACTCCGACCCAAGTCCCCGCGTCCCGCCGCCAACTTTTTTTTCTCTCTCCTTTAAAGAAAACACAAAATAGCAGGAGGAAATGCAAAGTGGCTCTCGGCAGGCACTTCTCGGTGGCAGAGACGGATGGCGGAGGGCGGGAGGGGAATGAATGGGTCGTTGAGGAGGCTCTGGAAAGGGCGTTTGAAAGACTGAAACCCAGCCCCAGCCGCCGACTCGGAATTGGCCCTGGAATTGGCCGGCCGTGCGCCCGACCCGGCGGGGGAAACCCCGGGTCCGGGGCAGCTAAGAGCTGAGGACTGAACTGGGGGCGCTGAGTGGTTGACCACAAACCAACAAGGGCTCCTTCCCTCCGTGAGCCAGGCGCCTCCGGAGGCCGCAGCACGTCCTGAGCCCACGGCTCAAGCGCCGGACCATTTGGATTGAACCTCGCTCCCTCGCTTGCTGTGTGACCTCGGGCGTGTTGCTTAACCTCTCTGTGCCTCAACTGCCTCCTCTTTAAAAAAAAATGGAGTTCAGAATAGAGCGCATTCTAGGTGGGTGGGGAGGCCAGAGGATGCAGTAAGATTGAGAACAGAATCTGGCCGGTAACAAACTCTCAGTCAATCCCAGCTGTTAATCTTCTATCAGCAATGGGTCTCTCCTTTACGCAACCCTTCCAAACACACACAACTCTGGTTCAGAGCGCCCTGACCTGCTCCGCTGGCTCCAGCGCCTGGCACAGCCTCAGGCACAGCGCAAGGCTCCCTAACAATGTTGGGGGGCGGGAGAGTTAAGGTTGGAAAGGATTTAACCACACCCAGGGGCGCCCTAAGGCCTAGACAGCGTCCCCGGGGCTGATGGACAGTGTGGACTGGGCCGGGGAGGCTCTGGTTGAGCTGAGTCCACAAGGTCCCGCTGCCTGGGTGCGGGGTGGGGGGTTTGAGCGCTGACGGGTGAGGAACCGCTGGCTCCGAGGTCCAGCACCGCCTCGGGGTTGCCTCCGCCTCTGCAGCTGGTGGCGGCCTGTGGGTCCGCTCCTACTCCTACGGGAGGGAAGAAACCTCCCCACGGGTGTTGGGGTCACAGGGGAGCACTACCCAGGCCTGGCCAGGGCTGCTGGCAGCCATGACCCCCTCCCCCAGGCACCCCCCTACCTGCAGCAAGTGCGACCCCAGCTCCTTGGCGACGCTGTCCAGGGGCCCCGCGCGGCTCGGCTGTCCCCACGCGTCTCCTAGACCTGGGCCGGGGGATAGAGCAAATCAGTAACCGGCAGGGCCTGCCCGAGCCCCAAACCTGTCACTCCCTCGATGAAAACGCAAAAGGCCGGGGCGGGTTCCCTCCAAGGCCAAAAGGCCGGGGCGGGTTCCCTCCAAGGCCAGGTTCCCAGCCCTCCCGCGCCCGCAGCTCTCGTGGGCCGCCCACGTGCTGGCGGCTCTGAAATTGCCTGTTATTATGTGAAATGCCACAAAATAACCTAATTTGCTTGGTCCAACGAGGCCGTCCTCGCCGCCAAACGCGGACACCGCCTTGACCCGTAAGGATTGCCCTGGGCCCTCCCCCCCTCCCTCCCCCGCGGCCCGCAACATGCATTTCCCCAAAGAGGCGCCCGCAGGGCCGCGCGCCCAGGAGGCAGCTCTCCTGTTTACAAATGAAATAAAATAAAAACCTTTTTCACCTCAGTAACCCCGGAGTCTCGGGAGCGCCGTCCAGTCCCAGCTGCGGAGGGAAGGTTTCCCTGGGGCTCCTCGGGGGTGGGGGGAGGGGGCAGCTCCAAACGCGCCGGCCAGACGCTGCGATGGGCTGATGGCGGCGAGAGCCCGTGTATACTGGACGCTAACGGGGAGGTGTCTGCTGTCACATATTGGGGTCCCCCAGCCCCTCCGTTTCCTAACAGCCCCACCCAGGCCTCCGCTCCCCCATCACCTCCCGGAGGCCCCGCCCTCCACAGGCTGGGACCCAGGCCCCAACTCCCTCTGCGCCTCCGGGTGAGGCCGGCACCTGGGGAACAGACCGTCGGTCCCCGAGTCCTTCCGCGGGGGCAGCCGGCCTCCCCAGGTAGCGCTGCGCCCCATGCGAGGCGGCGGAGGCTAACCCTAACCCTTCCCTTCCATGGAAAACGCCCCCAGCTCCAGCTCTGGCCGTGCGGGGTGGCTGTGGGTCCCGCTGGTGCGTCCGCCTTCCCGGCGGTGACCTCCGGGCCAGAGCGGCCCCTGCCCCCTGCGCGTCCCTCTTGGGGACCAGAGCCCGGAACCTGGCGCAGCCACAGATAATCTGCGGGTCCCGCGGTCCCAAAGCCCTTGAGGACGGTGGCGAGTGATGGACAGGGAGTCTGGGGCAGGCGCGTGGTTCTCCCCCTGTCCCCGAGGGAACCGGGGCGGAACCGCACCCCCGAGGGAGGGAGCCGCGGCCTGGGCCCCGCCGTGGCTTTGGGGTCCCTTCCCCATGAACTTTGTTGGGCAAAAAAATGAAAAAACACCACCTTTTCTTTTTCCTCCCGGGCTCTAGGAATTAGGGGCTTACCCGGGTCCCCCCAGAAGGAGCTAATCTCCAAACATCCCCACCCCGTGTGACTGCCTTCAGCCTCCCCACGTGGCAGCGCTGCCTCTGTCCTCAGCGCCCTGCCCCTCCCAGGGGTGACCGCAGGCCCCCGGCCCCAACGCCTGTCCATGGGCAGTGGCAGCGCGGCCTCCACACCCGAAAGGACACAATTTACCCCCACCCCACCCCACCCCCGGGGCTTGAATGAAGAAAGAATTTCATAAAGACCCAGGAATTCAGCTTTCCGAAAATGGACGGATGCGCCCTGGTAACTGTCCTTTCCCGCCCTTCCCGGCTCAGTGGTCCCCTGGCCTTGGCTTCTGGAAGGATCCCTGCCCAGTGACCTGGGAAGGTCTACACCCTTGGGAATGGCCCCCACA